ATATATATATATATATTATATATATATATATATTACAGGATCCAATTTGTAAATAGAATACATCTTGGAGACGGCTATCGCCGTATTCCCGTCCTCCTCCGCCAATCCTCTCGGTCCAAGGCATGCTCCTCCTCCAAACCTCTCGATTCCATTGCTCTTCTAATACCTTCAGTCCATGAGCGTCGAGGTCTACCTCTTTTTCTTCTACCAGGGGGCTTCCATCTGTGAAGTTTTTGGGGCCAACGTTCGTCAGGCATTCTTAACAGGTGTCCAAACCATTTTAAACCTCTTCTTTCTATTCTGTCTATGACCGTATCTGTAGCATTCATCTGATTTCTTATAGATTCGTTGGTTTTCCTTTCCAGCCTTGATGTTCTAGCACTTCTTCTCAAATAATCCATTTCAACTGCCAACAATCTTCTTTTCAGGTCTGCATTAATTGTCCATACTTCAGAGCCATAACAAAGAACTGATTCAACCATCGTTTGCCCTATTCTTTTTTTGTTCCTTTTGGAAATGTTGCGATCCCACCATAAAGAGTTCAAACATCCTACAATTTTACGTCCCTGATTAATTCGGTGTTTAATTTCGGTTTCACCCAAGCTGTTCTTATCAATGAATGCACCTAAATATTTAAATTTTTCCACTTGTGTGATTTCCACGTCCTCGTCTATCAACACTTTAAACCTTGCATCTGAATTGATAACTAGATATTCCGTTTTCTTCATGCTAACTTTTAACCCCCATTTTACATATTCTCTGTATAGACGCTTTATCATAAATTCTAGATCATAAGAATCTTGAGCTAGAACGACTTGGTCATCCGCAAAGTTCAGGGAGAACAGTACGTCATTTCCTATTGGGATTCCCATTCCCTGGCAGTGGTTTTTCCAATTTTGAAAGGCTGCCTCAATATATAAATTAAACAGTAAAGGTGACATACTGCATCCTTGTCTCAGTCCTTTAGTTACTTTTATCGGCTCTGATAGTCTATTTCCGATTTTTCGGTAAGTGGTGTTATCCCTGTATACTTCTGTGATTATTCCTAAAAGGTGTGGACTAATGCCGAGTTGTTGTAAAGCTTGCCACAATTTAGGCCTTGGTACTGTATCATACGCTTTTTCTAGATCGATGAAGGCTAGATGTACTTCGTTACCAACCGCTATTCTTTTTTCTATTAATTGTTGGAGTATAAACAAGTTATCAGTGCAAGATCTACCAGGCGTAAATCCGCTTTGGTCTTCGCTAATTAGATGTCCTACATCATCTTGTATTTTTCTATTTATTATCTTTCCAAACAATCTGCCGAAAGTAGGTAGGACACTCAAAAATAAAGGACAAAAAAAAAATAATCAAATCTATAATGAATTTTCTAAAACTTTTGAAACGGTTACAATTTGACGTTAGACCAATCCATTTTCTAAGATTGGCCAACCAGAATATACGTCATACGAATATACCCTCAATGTTGCTCTGTAGAATCAACTGTAGAAGTCGGTATTTATCATTACGCATGATGTGGCCGAAGTAACCCAATTTTCTGTTTTTTATGGTTTAATAATTTCTTTGTCTTTTCTTAGCCTCGGTAAAATAGTTATGTTACTTGTGTGGTATATATATGAGACCCTCAACATACGTCGGTAGCACCACATTTCAAATGCCTTCAATTGTTTTATGACATCTTCTGTAAGGCTCCAGCTTTCTACTCCATAAAGGAGGACACTAAAGATACTTTTAAAATAAGTTGCAGAGAATCTTCCTAAGGCTGTTGAAACAACTTCTGGCTTTTCCAATACGAGTTTTTATTTCATACCTGTGATCCCAAGTATCCTTAATATTGCAGTCCAAATAGCATATTTTGGTTAGTGGTTGATCCTTCTTCTGTTCAAGAAGATCGGTTAGCAGTTCGAAAATATTCCTACATTTGCTCATCAAAACTTCGTAGGAAGACATCTTATTTTTGCGTCTGTTGTAAAAAACCAATTTGCTTGACTTGTTCTCATAAAATATGTAGAAACTGTAACGTTGAAAAAGTATAAAAAAAATAATCCCCTTTGTTTGTCCTTATTTACCCCCTGCACGTTCCGTTACGTTTAGACTACTGATGGTAATTTTTATTACCATAGATTATTTAATATTTGTTATACCTAATATTAAAACCATTTGTACATACTAAATTTAGAAATATTAAAAAAAAATAGTTTTGCGACGTAACACTCTACTTTATTTATTTGCAACTTTTGACAAAAATGTTAATAATAAGAAATAGTTATGTTTTGTATAAAACTTAAGAGGTCGCTAGTTAAATGATATTAGATAAATAATAATAAAGAAAAATGCAATATTTTGTTTGTAAATAAATTAGCGGAAAATAGCAAATACAACTGTAAATAAATTACGAAATTAACTGGTCTTACGTGATATATGACTTCCTTTGAAATATTGATGTCGTAAGATTCTTAGCCAGGGGAATCTGGCTGGCAGCACGTAGGGACGCCTGGGTACTCCGAGGCTGTATAGCACGAGTACCGATAAAACTGGTCCGTTTTGTTCGCTGTCTTTTGATGAAGTGTGTGTTTTGAGATCGTCAGGTCAGAAAAAACCCTATAGTCACGCTTCGAAGCGGTTGTTAGCAAGAGGGTATACCAATAAATCACTCTATTGTATTGCGATTTTAAAGGCGATAATTTAAGTTAATTGTAACGGTAATACGAAACTTTACACTTGGGTATATTAGCAGAGTGAGTAAATTTAAATACCTGGGATCATGGCTTTTTGAAGACTGGGCATCGGACAGGGAAGTAAAATGTCGCATTGAGCAAGCTCGACAAGCTTTCGTAAAATTCAAGAAAGTACTGACTTGTTCAGAGTTTGATCTTCAACTGAGACTAAGGTTTACTAAGTGCTACGTATGGTCAGTGCTGTTATATGGCGTAGAGGGCTGGACACTCAAAACGAGGGATATAAACAGATTAGAAGCTTTTGAAATGTGGCTTTATCGCCGTATCCTAAAAATACCATGGACAGCGAAAATCACAAATATAGATGTCCTTAAAAGAATAAACCAAGAACGCCAACTTTTCAAAACCATCAAGAAAAGGAAAACGGCGTATCTAGGTCACATCATGCGAAATGAAAAATACCAGTTCATCCAACTTATAATCGAGGGTAAAATTGAAGGCAAGAGAGGAATGGGACGCAAGAAAATGTCCTGGCTCCGAAACATAAGGCAATGGACAGGGATTAACGACATACAATATCTGATACATATTGCAAGAAATAGAGAAATAATGGAAAATGTGATCGCTAACATCCATTAGTGGATTTGCATCTGAAGAAGAAGATATTAGCGACACATAATAACAAAAGAAATCAAATTCTCCGTACTTAAAACATAATAAATGAGATAGCCAGTTTAACAATTTTACAAAATAACAGGAAGGAATATATTTTAAAAAAATCGTTAGAATACAGCATTGAATTAGATCACATTATAGTACACTGAAAGAAAAAATATTAAATGTAAAAATATAAAAAGAAATAGTACATATTTCCCAAACAGTTAGTAACAGAAAGAACTAAAAAGGCAATAAAATATTGCAAAAATGCCTAAAGAACAGATTAATATAAGCAATGTGATAAAATAATTATTTAAATTTAAATGAGACCAGCATATTTATGGAGATGAGTATGGAGACTCTGTAATGTAAACATAGCAAGAAAATAAAGAATAGAAAAAATACGGGCTAGTAGCATAAGGGAGAATAATAATCATTCAATTAATTATTATATATTCCATATTAAATACAGTAACGCATACATTTTTAATTATACAAAGAATAACAATTGACCTAGTTTGACACAAGCTCGAATATTTAAGAATTACGAAATCTGAAGACCTTCGTGAAAATGAATACAACGAAGCGACACACCATCGCATGTTACATTCAAACACGTGGAACAGTACAGCAAAATCAGCAAAATAAACTAGGAATGTTCGCGGGACATAAAAACTAAAAAAATTGGTCAACCAGGCAGTCAGTAACAGCGGGGCACCGTGACTGGCCGCTCAGGCAGTATTGTCGGCATCGGTACGCACAGGCAGTCGGTATCTTCTTGCAGGGTTGTTAATACGAGAGTCGGCACCAGGTGCGGATTACGCGCGATTGTTATATTTCGACGGGGTATAGTTCCGTATAAGTGTCGGGTACTGAAAGAAATCCGATTTCCAGAGGAACTGAAGGGCGTATCATTAGCTAGAGCAATACGCAAAAGGTAACAAAATTCTATATACTAACCCGAGTAAATTATAGTATTACAAATTGTCACCCCTTTACTTTCTTGCTAAGATCTCTTCTCGTCTCCCTTCGCGCCGAACGAGTTATTATTAATTATATCTGACAGCTTGTTAACTTAATTGTAAACCACATAGTATATTCAATACATTTCTAGACTCTAAATTTGGTTTTTATGTTCCTTCCGGCCGATTTAGACAGAGACCAGGAGAGTACCAAATTTCGGCTTATACATTTATCCGGCTTCTAAAGTAAGCCCATAGACTCAAACTCTTTACAGGACCTGAGACCTAGAAGTCCTTAACCCCTATTCCGAAGTTCCTTACCTTCTCGTAAATCCACAAGGCGAGCAAGCCCTCCAGACTAGTGGGACCAGTATTTCTTGCAGCCGCTCGCGGGGATAAGCATCCTTTAAGGTTCATTACCAGTATATTACAGTGGTAACAGCGTTTACAGTGGTGAAGATTTTCTCACCCTCTAGTTCCAGATGTTACAATAGGGGATATAACCTCCCGAGAGTTGTACAACTCCATGTCACCGGTTATATTCGTAAAATCAGACGTCACCTGTTACGGGTTAAATAAGTAACTAAATAAGGTCATTAATGTTAAAAATATTAGAAATAATAATAAAAAATAGATATTTCAGTAACAACTAAATACCTCCAAACAATGTTTTCTATTAGATTTCTTAATAGCTTTTATTATGTCTGATGATTTTTTTATTGTTTCAGGGATAGATGAAGCCTCCGTCGTGCTTCAAGAGCCCGAATCGGTCACGTTTATAAAACGCGGCACCGACGTTATTTTGAGATGTCATCTGGACGCATCCGGGGAGGTCCACTATGAGTGGTTTCGGTGAGTATAGGGTGTCAAAATGTGTATACATTGTCCCTCTAATTTCCTAGTAGCGGTATTATAACACTGATCAACGATACGAAGGGAAACGGTAGGCGGCCACTAGCGTCACTTGGAGGACGCTAATTTTGTTTTCTTTCGGAAGTTGTTCTGCATGTATGTGCGATTAAGGGGCGGAGAAGGTTGTTTTGAAATTGAAAGTGCTTGGTAATTGATAAAATACTCGAGAGTCTTTTTTGCAATGGAAGTTTTCTCTGAAAATGAAAATAATGTGATTTTAGAATATTCTTACAAATAATTTTCAATTCATGAACAACTAATCTTTGTCTATAAATATTGATCATCAACAAAATATTTCGTTCATAATCAGTTACCTTTTTTATTAAATCTATTTTAAGAGGATCCATTTAAAAAAAATTGGATCCATATGTATTATAATCGTAGTACCTATCATAGGATTCCTCTTTTCTTCTATATGTTCATTGAACAATTCTTTGTGTTCAAAAAGAAGGGTTAACAATCCTAATATAAACTTCAAGAAACCAGTGGATTGGACTTTCTCAAGAACATTTTTCTCAGTAAAATATAATATGTATCCGTGTTTTATGGCAATTTGTTTCTCATTGGTATATCAATTTTCTAAGATGCTTAACCCTTTGTTGCCCAAATATAGAGATTCGAGAAAAAATCCAAATATTTTTCATTATTAGCATAAAAACATGTAAAATAAACAAGATTTGTTGTTGTTAGCTATAATTGATATTTACAGGAAAAAAACAAAAATTTGGACTCCTGGGTACCGTCAGGAAATACCTTCTTCTTGATGTGCCTTGTCCGTTCCGAACGTTGGCAATCAACATGGCTATTCTGACTTTGTTTACGGCAGATCTAAATAGTTCAGCAGATGACAATCCGAACCATTGCCGCAAGCTTTGGAGCCACGAGTGTCTTCTCCCTGGACCCCTTTTGCTGTCTATTTTCCCTTGAACGATCAGCTGTAGTACTCTATATTTATTATGTCTCATAACGTGACCCAAGTATTTCAACTTTCTTTTCTTTATACTTATTCCTACCTCTCTCTCATTACCTATCCAGCGTAGTACCTCCTCGTTGGTCACGTGCTCAGTCCAGGATATACGTAATATACGTCGGCAAGCCCACATTTCGAAGGCCTCTACTTTTTTCATCAATGTTGCGGTCATTGTCCACGCCTCCATTCCATATAACAAAACCGGGAATACATAACATTTCAGAAGTCGAATTTTGAGAGGTAAGGTGAGGCTTTAGAGGTGAAAATTTGCTTCATGCTAGTGAACGATGCTCTTGCCTTTTCTACTCTTATACGTATTTCCTTCGCTTGATCCCAATTTGAGTTGACTGTTGTTCCCAAGTAGATGTACGAATCCACGTGTTCAATTCTTTCACTGTCTAATATCAGTTGCTGTGGTGGTTGTTGGGTTTTGCTTCCTAACATCCATTTGGTTTTTGTGATATTGAGTCCGTATTGTGCACTTGTTTTTTGTATCTTACTCATTAGGCAACTCAGTTCCTCCATGCTACTTGCTAGAATGACAGTGTCATCAGCATATCTTATGTTATTAATTATTTCTCCATCATTTACATATTATATTGTATATAGGAAATACCTAATACCATAAATGAATTGTTTTGTATGTCTAAAATAGTTCTAAAGTATCTTAAGTTACACATTATTATTAAAAAATAATTAAATATTGATAACATGATGTTACAAATTTATCTCATGGTAAATCGCAAAACAGTTTTTTTTTCATTGTAACACAGCAACACCTCACATGTGCTGCATATACTGTGATGACGTGACTGGATACCTTGGCCACTAGAATACTCACACCGGCCTCTACTACCTTCGTATTTGACGCAGTGGCTCCCCTGATTATCCCTCCAATTGTAATCATCCACAACTACTGGATAATTTATATATCAGCTTTTGTACCATCTTTATTTGTTCTTTTGACTGATGTCTGCTCGGTTCCGTGGAATTTAGTTGCAAAATTCACGATTCTATTGTCCTTCCATTTGCAAATACCTATGTTTGTGTTGCAGTACCTGGAATCAAACTCTTCCCTTTTAAGAGCTTTATCTTCGGCTAAAGTCTTAGGAAAATCCGTTCTATTATTGCGAACTGTTCCACACGCTAAGGTATTTTCAAGTCGCAGTTTTTTCAGTTAAGGTATTGATTTGAAGAAATTATCAAAATAGATGATTTTATTTTTGCCACAATGTGGTTTTGTTAATGAAAACACAACAAAACACGTTTTCCTAATCCATGACATCTAAATTCATCTCCTGCTTGGTCATCTAAGATTTTTGGCACCAGATTTTATATTCTAGTTTTATAGGATTCTGCGGATTATATTGTTTTAGAGTCGACCTACCCTTGCAAAGTATCATACTTTCATCAACGGCGACCCTTCTTGTTGTTTTGTAGAGAGTTTAAAATTCTGATTGAGTTTTTCCATAACTGGACGTAATTTATATAGCTTGTCTCTGTTGTTTTTTGTAATTTGAGGCCACCAGAACCAGAGTGGCCCAAGTGATAGAAGTCAAAACTAGAGATATGTGCCAAAATAGTTTAGTGAAATTTTCGAGTTACTGTAGAACATTAAGTAAATATTAAACACATCGCTTAGTTCGCAGCATAATACTTTAAAAATTACCAAGATTTTATGGGCTATAGCCTGATGCTAATTTTGTAAGTATTTGTAATTTTTTTAACAGTTGGGCCACTTTGGCATTGGCTGCTTGAGACAAGCATGTCAATAAAAGGAAGAATAATAGGCCATCGGGTATGAAAACAACCCATCCCATAGAAATAAATTAATGTAATATACCAGAAATAATGACTTTTATTAAACTGAAAAATTACAAATTAAAACTTGCTAGTTTTTTTACTTAAGTTGTAATCAAACTTTCACTTTTATTGTTTTTAAATGTTTTCATTACACACTGCTCCACTGAAAAATCGCTCATTGCTTCGTCTAATTCATTCCTTGCAGTGTTAGAGTCTGCTAGTTGGTGGTAGAATTGATGATAGCTGGGCGGAACATATTATAGTAAACAGAGAAGGTCTTTCTTTTTTTTCAGGGTTGATTTTTCTTAGATCCGGATAGAGCGTTTCGAGCTCTAGGTTAGCAGCATCTTGAGAATTCCTTTTACTGAAGTTAACTTCGGTAAAAAGGACTTCTGGATTATTTGAATATTTAAAATATATGGAGAATGGATGCATCCTACTATACAGCATCCACTGCATTTTTAGCTACTCTACTTTAGACCTATCAACGCTTATCTTTCTGTTCGTAATGTTACTTTCTAAGGCTTTCGTCGATATGAAATCGTCTCGTTTCATCTGTACTACCTTGAATGGATTCTTTTTTCTCGCTGCTGTTATCACGGTGTTCCAATGCTTCGGAATGTATATGTTTGAAAAATACCTCCTCTGCTTTTCTACCAAGCCGAAAGCTCAATCTGTTCCACAGTATAAGCTGGATTTGATACAATGTACATACACAACACCGCAATTTTTATATTGCAGTTCTGACCGCCACATTGGTCTGAGTACATTATTAGTTTCTTTGTACGTACATTATCTTTAATAAATTTTAATAAACATGAACCTATTTCCTGTGGCCCTCTGGATGCAGTCGATTCGTCTCAAACGTACGTAAAAATGTCATCGATAGCAGCATTGTGAATACCTAAACAGTAAGTCCATAACTGCCGTTTATAATAGCATATTCCAGTTGAAATTACCGGAGTTGGAAGAGTCTTCATCAGATCAAATATAATTACTGTGGTGTCATTGTTTTCTTTTGTATACTGTATATCAATTTTCATATTATTCATGGCACTTTCCGCTTTTCTTAAATGAACCTCCTTGGCAGTGGTAAGTTCGGCCTTCTTGGAATGTTCATTATTTTCACAAGCCTCTATTTTTACTTTGAAATTATCGCTTTTCTTACATGAATCTGTTATAGGAGCATGGAGAACTTCTCGTTGAATATTTTTTCAAAGATGTATTTAGAAACAGGTTCGCTGACTTCCTTTTTATATTCGGAATACATTATTGTCAAATTCAAGTCAGGTGGCAAATACTGTCTTGTCTCACTTTTTTGTCTGGTGTAGTGTGAATCGTATTTTGGAAAAGTATTAATGAACTCCTTTACTTTATTTTCTTTCACCTCAGGGGTTTTGTTTTTTGGGACATGTTTACCTCGCTTGTCAATAGGGGGTGTATCACCAACTGATTTATTTTTCAAAACCCTTGTGAGACGTCCATCTGATACTTGAAGGACATGTTTGAAAAATGACTTGCAAACACGAATTTGTCTTCCGTTCATATCTGGTAAATGATACAGTCTGTAAAATTCTCTCGGCTTTGTTGTGACATCGTTTGCATTTTGTTTACATGATCTTGCTTTAATTACGACATTTACGAGTGAACACAGGTATGAGCTTTGCAAATTGAAATTTGATAATCCATAAAATTTGGAAAATAGTATTCTTTGTCTTTCAGGTTCGATCTTCTCGTGGCATTTTTCTTTACAGGGACATCGATATTGTGTATTTATCGTTTTAGCGAGAACGAGAACGCCTTTAGTGTTAGTGTATTCCTCACCTTTAGCTCGTTTGTTTTTTCTCACATTTTTTTTCCACGTATTTTCCTTGCGAATGCGTTTCCTTGTCGTATATATGTTGCTAATGTGGCGAAGAGCTCCTGCTGCGATGATCTGGAACATACTCGGAACCTGAATCATGATCGGGCTCCTCTGGGCTTGATCCAAGTATATCTTGTAAATTATTTTCGATGTTATCAGTATCAGTAGTTTCAGCCCCACTCCCTCCATCATGTGCAGTTGCTGCAGCTCCAGGAACATTTGCAGCAAACAAACCGTACAATTAATGTTTTTGTAGGTTATGTTAACTTGACAAAGGTTATAACAGTTGGATTGTTGGTTAAATAACAGAGAAACTCAACTTTTACATTACATGCAGTACCTTCCGCGCCTTCACCCTCACTTTCATTAATGTTTTTATTCATTTCTAATTAAAACACTGTTATAAAATGAGAAATACGCAAATAACCTCTGAATAATAATCCCAATGACAGTTAAGCTTTGCCAATGCCAGAGTGGCCCAAGTCACCTGGGTCACTATGATTTTTTAAATGGAGTATAAAATTACAATGCCAAAACAATACTAGTGTCGCCATCTGTTATTCTCAGAGAAAACTAATCTTGGGCCACTGTGGCTTTGAAAATATTATTATTTCACATCGTTGTTTGTGATAAAGTCTAAATATTAAAAAATGTCACTTGGCCACTCTGGTTCTGGTGGCCTGATTTCTAAGTTATTGTTGCAATAAATATTTGCCAAAATTTTTCTCGAAAACGCCTAAATCGGGATTTCCATTCCAGTAATGTTTCCAGTTCGGCAGTTGGTGATAGGCCATAAAGAAATTGATACCAATGAAACTGAGGAGCTCTTTTTCCGTGAGATCCAATTGTATATTTCTCTGGATAACGTACAAATTACTTTCATATGTGATATCGCGTATGATGGAGTCAAGAACTTTTAAGAAAACGCTGGCAGGAGTTTCAGAACTATCAAACAATTACTTTACCACAACTTCCGGCTCTGGATAATCCGATATTTTAGTTTTAACACTACATTTCTTCCATCTGCGAGCAGGTGGCTATTGAACTTCATTATTAACAGACTCTTCTGCTTCAAGCTTTGATAAACGCAGCTTTCTGTTTATATTCTTAGTGTTTTGCTCAAAAGATTTTCTTGAAGTATACGCTTCCACCGTATTACATTACTTGTTGTCACTATTAATACAAAATTAACAATTTTGCAGTTTGTTAGTTTTGAGAAAACTCTTTAGAAACTCTTGGTATGTTTGTTTTTTTTTTGTGCAGCCTGATTTTCCATATTCGTTTTTTTCTCTTGGGTTTTTTTATTAAACAATGAAAATTGGAAGTACGGCGAAGCCACTATTTTTGTGTTCGTGTGTATTTAACGTTGATGAAAAGGCGGATCTCAACGATAATTTATTCCCGCTGATGTTTATTAGACTCGAACGGAAAAAGGCAAATAAAAAAGTCGAGAGATAAAAATAAATTGCATATCCTCCGATTTCGTGTGAAAGACAGAAACTTACTGTAGGTGCATTATTTTTGATTACAGGAACACAGACCATTTAACGAAATCAGCGAGGCTTGAAATTAAAAAGAAGAGGTTGCACATCAAGTCGGTGGAGACATCAGACAACGGGGTTTACAAATGTGTCGCCAAAAACGAGGCGGGTGTTCAACATTCTACGAAGAATTTCGCTCTGATAGTTCCCGGTAAGTTTTTTTATTTTTGATCAATATTAGTGATTGAGATTTAACAAACTTTCGTTTATTTCATGTTTAGGTAATTGACTTTCTGTTTTTTCTTGAATAAAAAACAGGAAAAGAGAAACTATTATGTTGATAAGACACTTGATAAGATTGCCAAAAAGCATTATTCAATTTAAACGCAGATATAAAAACAATCAAAAGAAAACTTTTATTTAAAAATCAATAATAAAAGGTATATAATTAAAAAGACCCTTTCGGGCTACATCACAGAACGTTTTCGGACTGACAAGTCCATTATCAGTGCATTTACCAGATATACATGAGTTAAGCCACTAAATATGTGGGTATAAACCCTTAAAATGATACAAAGGCATATCTCTAAGAATTCTATTACTAGTTACTATATCTAAAGTTGATAAGATTTAATGAATCGGAACAGTCAGTTTTATGGCCAAGTAGTTTATATAAAAAAACTAGATCATATTTAGTTCTATAGTCTTCTTGGTCTTCTTCTTATAGTTCCTATCCGTTTCGGATGTTGGCGACCATCATAGCAATTTGTTAATATCTCCATCAATTTGATCATGTTTTACTATGTCGAACGCTATGTGGTAATCAATGAAGCATGCATAAAAATATCGCAATTCACATCTCTTATCATTGAAATAGCACTTGTATGCTAAAGAGAGCCTCTCTCGTACCTACCGCATTCCGAAAACCAAACTGTGTAGGGCTGAATCCTTCGAAATAAAACAAGCTATGGAACAACTAAAAAACAATAAGGCTCCGGATCCAGATGGAATACTTGTAGAAATGTTGAAGGAGGAGAGTGATATTATTCTCAAAGAATTGAAAATTTTTTTCATCGAATGTCTTCACAAAGGAGAAGTCCCAGATGATTGGATTGAAAGTTTGACAGTACTTCTCTTCAAAAAGGGAGACAGGGGAGATCTGAAGAACTATAGGCCAATCTCCGTGCTGTCCCAAATGTACAAACTGTTTATGAGAGTAATAACTAACAGATTACCGTCGAAGCTCGATAGCTATTAACCGGTAGAGTAGGCAGAATTCCGAAAGAGTTACAGTACAGCGAATCATCTTACAGTCAGAACTCTAATATAGAATGATTAGCTTCGTTGATTATAAAAAGGCATTCGACTCCATAGAACTTTGGGTAATAGAGAGAGCTATGAACAACTTCAGGATAGACTCCCGATATAGAATGCTCAATATAATATTTACAAGAAAGGTACAATGAAAATACAAATAGATGCGAAAACCAAAGCTATACCAATCAACAGAGGAGTTCGCCAGGGAGATGTTATCTCACCAAAGCTATTCACACTTGGACTGAAAGACGTGTCCAAAGACATTAACTGGGCAGATAAAGGAATAAATGTTAATGTAAGAAAACTGAGCCATTTAAGATACGCTGATGAGATTGTAATATTCGCTACATGTTTCGAAGAAGTAAAGACCTTGATGACGCAACTATTTCAAGCTTCGGAAAAAGTAGGTCTTAAGGTGAACTTGAAAAAAAGAAAAATAATGATAAATACACCGAACATTAGAGAAATAGCGTTGAACGATATAAATTTAGAAACAGTAAGCGAATACATCTACCTGGAACAGATAATGAAAGTTAGCAAAGAAAATCAAACTGCCGAAATTACCAGAAGAATAAGGTTAGAGTGGGCAGGATTTGGAGAACTGAGTTGGATGTTGAAAAGCACAAAAATAGAACAATATTTGAAGACCAGAATTTACGATCAGTATATCCTCCCTATACTCACGTATGGTTCACAGACGTGGACACTCACCAAGTCTAACATGGATAAAATAGTAAAAGCACAAAGAGCGATGAAAACATCAATGCTCGAGATGAGACTTATAGATAAAAAAACAAACAAATGGATTAGAAGCAAAACCAAAGTAAAAGTCCCAGGAGAACATGCTGCCAAATTAAAATGGAGCTTCGCAGGACACAATGTCCTACTAAAGGATACGAGATGGAACCACGAAATACAACAATGGAGACCATGTTTAGGAAAGAGAGGCAGAGGAAGACCACAAATGAGATGGGCGGATGATATTAAGAAGATCGGAGGATACAACTGGAAGCAAGTGGCGCAAAATAGAAGACACTGAATTGGATTTGGGGGAGGCATGTCCAAAGTTGGAGTCTAAAGAAGAAGAAAAAACAAACTTCAGGTCGCTGGTCATGTATCAGCCAGGGGCGTATCAATTATTTTTTTTTGTATACATTAGTATTCGATGCTTAAGGAAAAAGATCATGCTACAAAAGAAAGTAGAAAAAAAATTGATGTTTTTAGTAATTTTTAAATATTTTAATTTTTTTATTAATCTTCCCGAACTTTTTTTCAAAAATCCAAATGGCACTTCGTACATCCAAACTTAGTCATTTTTTCACAAAGGCCTGTTCTATTCGTAATTTATGCTACAGGAATTTTATTTTATTTATTTTATTTTATAATTGTTTTCGTGATATAAGTGCGTTTAAAAGGGCATCTCAAGATATGATTTTTATCTGTATTAACATTTATGTACCAAATCCTATTTCAATGACTAGTAATTCTTATTAAATAATTTATTTCTTACCTCTAGGTAACCACACGCCACTTATACAAACCGTGCCTTCAGATTTAATAATGAAGCAAGGAAACACTGCCTTTTTGGACTGCTCCTACCAAAATGCCGACGTAATCGAGTGGTATCTAAAAGACCAACGTCTTAAGAATAATAACAGGTAAGGCATTGGAAGGTTTCTTTTTGTTATTTGCAAAAAATCGTGTTAAAATTTAAAAATGTTTATAAAACATTTGTTACGAACATGCATTCAGCGCAGATTAACCTAACGGTCGCATCTCGAAGCACCGAGAGTTTCGGCGATATTTCGAGCGCTGTAAATTTCCACCCGTCAAATAACGAATTAGAGGTGGGACTACTCTCGAATATTCTCGAACATAATACTTTGGTATATATATGTAACGAAATTAGGATTTAAGTTTAGTTGATAAGAGAATACCGAACTGTAAAGTTATAAATAAATATATTTATATAAATTCGAATCGCTCGTTTTATTTAAAAACGGTACACATTATTAAATTTCAAAAAGGTCAAAGAATTAACAGGAGTTATGAAGGAAATTAAAAAATGTAACAATAAAACACTGAAAACTTTGTTTTCAAACTTACACAAAAATTTATTTTAACTCTTATCACTACAGCTGTTTCGGCTGATTGCCTTTCTCAAGTGATATATTTTTGGCATGTGTTTACACTTTATAGTCTCTAATGAAATAGGTTGAGGAGGGAGAACTGTTTGTCTCGAGTTGGTCATTCAGAATTATATCTGTGTTTTTGAATTTGTTGATTTCTATAGATTCTAACAAGGATAGCTTAAGGCGTTTATTTTGAATGTGAAGAATTTTAAATTCGTCGTTAAAAGAATGATTGTGATCTAGAAGGTGAAGTGCGTATGTAGAATCTGTTTTTCTATTATTGAAAGCCCTTTTATGTTCTGCTATTCGTTTACTAAAGTTTCTACCAGTTTGACCGATGTAAGTTTTTGGGCAGTCGTCACATTTAAGTTTGTACACACCACTGTGTAAGTGTTTTTTATTTTGGCTCTTGTTGTTTTTGATATATTGCCTAGGTTGTTATTTGTTCGAAAAGCTGGTGTTATTCCTTTCTTTTTTATGTGTTTGGCTATTTTTGTTGTAATCATGCCTGTATATGTAATCGAACAGAAGGTACTGGGTTTTTTCTCTGGTGGTGGAAATACTAATTTCAGGGCTTTCTTGTGTAGTTTTTGATTTAACATTTTATTAATTGTTTGTTCAGTGTATTCGTTGTTTACTGCTATTTGCTTTATTACATTTAATTTTATCTCAAAGTTGTATTTTGACATTGGAATTTCTGTTAATCTATGTAACATACTATGATATACTGCCAGTTTATGTTGTGTTGGATGGGATGATGAATTGTGTATAGTCGTGTCTGTATGGGTAGGTTTGTGAAATATGGAGAAGTCATGTTTGTTTTTAAATCTGATAATTGTTAAATCTAAAAAATTTATAGATTGATTTTGTTCTGTTTCTATTGTAAATTCAATTTGACTACGAAGTGAATTAATATACGATAAAAATTGGTCGAGTTGCCTGTTAGTTCCTGTGAAACATACTAATACGTCGTCTACGTATCTCCACCAATATAAAAACTGTTTAAATACGGGATGTTTGGAAATCTTTGTCTCTAGATGATCCATAAAAATATCTGATAGCAATGGGCTTAGAGGATTGCCCATTATAAGTCCTGCACTGTTATTTGTATATATTTGATTATTAAATTCGAAGTAATCCTGGTTTATGCAAACTTCAAGAAGATGTAAAATTTCAGATGTAATTAATGGATTTGTACTATTTTGGTCTAAAAGGTTTTTTACTAGAATAAAAGTTTCTGTAGGAGGGATACTAGGAAAAAGATTTTTTACGTTAAATGAAATTAATCTGGAGTTGTTAGGTAATTGAAAATGTTGTATTTTATTAACTAGTTCTATTGTATTTTTTATGGTAAATTTAGGTGAAAATTTAGTGTGTTCTAAAATAATCTCTAACAGTTTTTTTGAAAGTTTATATGACGGAGCAGTATAAAAAGAAACTACAGGTCTTATTGGGTGATCCGGTTTGTGTAGTTTAATGAAAGAGTATAATTTAGAAGGCTGTGGGTTCATGATATTGAGGTATTTCTGTTCTATTAGATTTACTATTGATTTTGAATTTTCTAACGCTAGCTTAATTTGTTTTTGATATTTTTCTGTCGGATCTTTATGTAAAGTTTCAATATTTTGATTATGTATTTAAGAATTCTATTCTTTTGTTATTATATTCTATTTTATCTATAGCAATAGTAGTGTTGCCTTTGTAAACATTATGTTGTTTTCTATTGATTTATTTTTAATTGAAATTGCTGTTTTATTCTCTTTGTAACAGGAATTCTTAGTTTCACTACACACATCTGTAATAGATTTGGCAATTATACTTTTTTCGATATTGCTAGCAGTTTTGTTTAAGCTATCAATTATTTAAAAGAAATTAAAAAAATAACTTGGAATCAACTAAAAGAAACTAGGTAGGGCAAAATAATAAAGGGAACTCTATATTTGAGAAAGTTGGCCTGATCAAAGAACAATATTAGCAGTAGTACTACAATCCAGTTATTGCTATGAGAATCTTTTTACAATCTCAAATTCGTGAGATGTCTCAGAATATGGATCACGATGGCTCCCACATACAAAATGCTCAGAGAACTCTGAAAGGACACAGAAAAAGAACCCTTTAAATGTTATTAAATTGGTTCTAGATAACATACTTGCTGTTAATTTTATAGAATCTAGAATGTAGGTGGGTAGCAACTGAGCAACTTGGGTAGTAGTTTTGGGGCTTTTCTTTGTTGCTCCAAAAGCGTTTCAATGTTTCCTTTATTTCTAAAACGTTCCTTTATATAAAGTTAAAATTGGTGCTCTATTTGAAACGTTTTTTAATTGTTTAATAATCTCTTTTGACAGAATTACCATCCATTCTAACGGAACTCTTCAAATCAACGATGTCGGCAAGCTCGATCAAGGTCTGTACACCTGCGTCGGGATCAGAAGTGAATCTGCAGAGGTTCCTCAAAGTTACACTGCCGAATTAAAGTTAGCATGTAAGTGAAAACATATACTAGAAGTAGAATCATTTTACGCCACATTGACAATTTTTACTATTTCTTGTATAAATTTAGTGCCCTAGATTTGTTGTTCTCGATCTATGATATAAAAATAATACGCAATCGACTAGGTAAACATGTTTTTTGAGGATTAAATAAATTTTTTGAGCAAGTTATAAATTAAGTACACTTACTTATAAAAATAGTCCATACCTATTCAGTGACGCACCTAGAATTTTTCTCTGGGAGGGGGAGGGGGGAAATTGGCTGGGCACCGTAATTTTTTTTATGCTACTTCCATTGAAAATTTGTGAATAACAGTTCATACCGATAACGGATCGAATCGCACTATTAAAATTAAACGCTCTACCGTGCAACATAAACAGAAGAAATAAACAGCTTCTACAATGACTTAAACAAAACATTCAATGAAACTATAAAAGAAGAAGTAAATTTGATGTTAGGTGACTTTAACTCGAAGATAGGGAAAGGAAGAGATGGAGAAGTAGTAGGAGAACACGGACTGGGAACACGTAATGAAAGAAGTGAAGGACTAGTTCAGTTTTGCAAAGATAACGAACTCGTTATCAAAAACACGTGGTATAAACTCCCAAATCGAAGAATATATACATGGAAAGCACCTAGAGAGTGAAATTATAATAAAAAACTAAATAGATTACATAATAATAAATCAAAGATTCTGAAATGCCATAATATCGGCTAAAGCGTACCCAGGAGCAGATATAACAAGTGACCACAATCTAGTTCTAGCAAACATGAAACTTAAGTTAAAAAAGTTAAAAAAAAAACTGCCAAAACACCGAAAATCAATCTGAGAAAACTAAAAGAAACCGACATGTACCAACAAATCAAAGAACAAGTGCACAAAAAAGTTCAGGAAGTTGACAGCAACAGATACATGGAGGAAAGTAGGGGAGATCTTGAGAAATATCACAAAACAAAATCTTCAAGAAGACACATCATCTAAAAATAAACAATGGATCACACACGAAATAAAAGAACTGATGACGGAAAGAAGAGCACACAAGAATAAAAACGAACAACAATACAAAAAATTAATAAAATAATCAAACAGAAAATCAAAGAAGCCAATTAACTGCTTCTATGAGAAAAGTGTGAAGAAATGGAAAGGTTAGATAAACAACATGACACTTTTAACATACATCGGAAAATATTATGGATAAAAATAATAACATAATAACGGAATGTACAGATAAAATAAACAGATGGGAAGAATACATTAAAGAGGTATTCGCAGACGACGAAAAAATTGGGGTCATTGAACCAAGAGGAACAAATGGGCCACCAATCACCAAAGATCAAATTGAGAAATCGCTAAAAACGTATAAAAAATATGATGAGTATGAGATTCCGAAAGAATGATTAATGTCAATATTCATTCCAATATCCAAAAAATCAAACGCAATGAAGTGTGAATAGTACAGGACAATTAACTTGATGAACCATATTCTAAAAGTGTTGATGAATAGCTGAAAACCAATTGTGATTCAGAAAAGGCTTTGGCACCAGACAAGCATTATTTACTGTACAAACACTAATCTAACGATGTCGAGATGTCAGTTGCGACGTATTCATATGTCTGGTCGACTTCGAAAAAGCTTTCGATAAAGTACAACATCGAAGAATGGCAAAAATACTACAGAACATAGAATTAGATGACGAAGACGTGAGAATCATTTCCAATATATACCGATATCAGAAAGCCATATTACGAATGGACCAACAAAAATCGAAAGAAATACCTATAAATCGTGGAGTAAGACAAGGATGTGTGCTTTCCCCTTTACTTTTTAATATGTATTCAGAAGAATTGTTTAAAGAGGCATTAGAAGACGTAAATGAAGGCTTATTTATTAACGGAACTCTTCTGAATAATCTTAGATACGCAGATGACATAATACTCCTTGCGGACAGCAAAGAAATACTACAAATCTTGGTTGATCGGATTACCCAATACTGCGAAAGGTATGGAATTGCACTGAATACAAATAAAACAAAAATCATGGTGGTAAGCAAAAACAAGATTGAGGAAGACAGTGTTTATGCTAAAGGAAAACTTTTAGGCAGGGTGCACAGATGTCAGTACTTAGGTTGCGAACTAAATGAAGAATGGGATAGAAGTACAGAAATAAAACGGCGTATTGAAATACCTAGAAGTGCTTTTAATAAGAAGAAAGCAATATGCTGGAAAACTCAACATTGAAATTAGAACTGAAATTAGAACTGAAATTAGAGTATTGAGATGCTAAGTGTTCTCTGTCCTGTTGTATGAAGTTGAGGCCTGGGCAATTACAGAGGCGACAGAGAAAATACTCATTAACTTTGAAATGTGGTGGTATCGAAGAATGTGGAAAATATCTTGGACACAACACATAACAAATGCGGAAACGCTACGAAGAATGAAAAAAGATAAAGAAATAGTCAACACTATAAAGAAAAGAAAAATGAGCTACTTTGGACACATACTAAGAAACGAGAAATACAAATTAATGCAGGTGGTCATACAAGAGAAGGTGGAAGGCAAAAGAGGACCGAGGAGAAGACGCACGTCTTGGTTGAAGAATCTGAGACAATAGAGTGAGAAAACGTCAATAGAACTTATCAGAACGGTTGCAGATAGAGTCAAATGGACCATGATGATCGCCAATGTCCTTAGGGATGGGGTATGTTAAGAAGAAGATCAGTGTCGGAATAGTGAACTAGGGGGGGGGAGGGTTTAACCCCCAGCTCCGCTGCTCAAAATTTAAAATAACGTGGTGCTTTAAAAATAAAAAAAAGCACTGAGCGTCCGGGAAGTTAAGTTATCAAACGTAGCGTATGCGATGAGGTAATCGCATGTCGTAGACGTAGCTGTGTGAAGGTGAAGTTAGGAACCTTTGTGTATTCCAGAAGAGCACCAGACATAGAAAGATTTTTTACATTTGCAATGATTATCCAAAAAAAAATCGTGTTTTTTTTATCGTGTTTCAATTCGAGAACGATCTTTGATGTTTTTATTATTTAGTATTCTATTGCCGATGAGAATTATTTTTCCGTTTAGTTCCATTTTTTTTAATTACTTCCAGAGGTCATGTTTTTTTTAGTGTATTTTCTCCTGTTCAAAATATAATTTTGAACGTGAAAAAATCATTTTATAACATAAATTTTATTTACAGATATCGAACCAATGACATCCGCCTCTTTTGAACCGACACTGCCAGAAAACTCACGGAAAATTATTGGTGAAGGATCCAGTTTTCAACTTACCTGTTTACCGCCAAAAAGTTTACCTCCCGTGAAGAAATGGTGGGAAAACCAACATGGACATACGGTAAGTACACTACTGAAACAGAAAATTACAAATTACAAAATCTGCACAAGATTGATTGTGCGAAAGATTCTCTGTTGATAATTCCACCATTGATACCTTGAATACCTATCTTCAACTTATTCATAATAGTTATTCCAGAATTCTCGAATTCTGTTCCAAGTTGTACAGGTACAGGTATTTGGTCTCTTGTGTCCATCGAGCAATAAGACAAAAGAGGGAATCTACTCGTTATGAAAAGGAGACCAAAAAAGTGGCCTCTGATGGCGGACATATCCGGAAATGCGAATGCGCCAAATTTAAATTTCATGACACTTGACAATAATCATACAGTGGTGTAGGGGTCCTAATTTATTTATTTTATATTACATAATATTTTATATTATCCATTTATTTATTAAAATGATTTATTAAAATACTTTTTTTAACACTAGAACACAATAAAGTTTTAATTAATTAATAACGATAATAGTCTAAAATGTTAAACAATTGTTAAAAAATTTCAATAGAAAATATAAATAAGCTTTCATGTGACAGTTTTGACAAACAATAACATCAACAATAACATAACTCAACTAAATTTGATTTCTTAAACAAGGAAAGAGATTCTCTTTCCTTGTTTAAAGTGGCCTCTTAAAATAGCACTTCCTGTCTATCAATATGTTTGCCCCCACTAACTTTACATTCCCTCTTTTGTCTTATTGCTCGATGCTTGTGTCCCTTGAACCGCGCTTCTCTATTAAGGAAGATGTCCAATATATTTGGTTGATTCTCTGCCAACAGTGTAGCATTATTTTTATTTTTTTTTCAAATCAAGTTTTTGTTTAATAGACACCATAGTAATCAATTATATTCTTGGATCTTGAACGTTTGGCAATAAATTAGGCCATATAAAGATGATATCTTTACGTGATTGACTATTTTCGTGATAGTTTTTCTATAAACTGATAATTTTTGAGCTGTGATATCCTACAGTCTCTTCATCATGAATATTACTGCTAGGTTTCATTTGTGTCAAAGTAATATCCAACTATCTACACGCATGTCAAAAAGTATAATTAAGAAAACACACTAAAGATCTATCACACAATTTTGATTTAATTTTCATGTAGATTTCGGACACCGGTGATATTCGAGTGGACGATGGACGACTTATCATTGATCATGTAAAACCTGAAAACGCTGGATTCTACAAGTGTGTCGCTGAAAATATTGCCGATATCACTGAAAAAACCATCGAAATTGTTGTTACAAGTAAGTAAACATTTTTTGTTGTTATTGTCTTACTGAATATTATAATTTTGAATAATTTCATTAGTCAATTTTTTACTTCTCTTATCGACCTGTCTTTAAGATATATCCCAGTTTTTTATAGCTTTTGCATCTTTAAAGAACTTAAACATTTATAAAGTACTTTTAAAAATTATAAAGGACTTATAAAGTATTATAAAGAACTTACACGATAAAATGTATATAAAAGACTTACGAAGACTTATAAGGAACGTATAAAGAGATGATAAAGACTTATTAGAAAATTGTTTCGTTTTATAAGAAAAATTTTTATAAGTGCCAAGATCTAATATACTATTCTGCATAAAGTTATAAGAAAAGTAGCATTATTTTCACATATATCTTAAATTTTTTTAGCTTCTTGAACATTTCAAAGGATAAAAATTCATAAAGGACTTACGAAGGATTATAAAGATTTAACAATTAAGTATTTAAAACTTATAAAGAACGTATAAGGAATTCATAAAGAATATTATCAAAAAATTTTTAAAGGTATAATTGTTACAATTTTATAAGATAAATGTTCAATTATAAGTGCCAAGTCCTAATGTAGTATTCTCAATAAAACTATGAGAAAAGTATGACTTTTTCTACATATATCCGTTTATATACATATATACGTACGTTTTTTATGAATTTTGGAATGTTTCGAAGGATTTATAAAAATGTATTAAGTACTTCTAAAAAATTATAAAGAACTTATGAAGGATTATAAGGGACGTATAAAGGCTATTAAAAAATCGTTTAAGGACTTACAATTTTATAAGATAAATGTTCATTTATAAGTGCCAAGTCCTAATGTAGTATTCTCGATAAAATTATAAGAAAAGTATGACTTTTTCCACATATATCCGTTTATATACATATTTACATACGTTTTTAATGAATTTTGGAATGTTTTATAGGATTTATAAAAATTTATTAAGTACTTCTAAAAAATTATAAAGAACTTATGAAGGATTATAAGGGACGTATAAAGGCTATTAAAAAATCGTTTAAGGACTTACAATTTTATAAGATAAATGTTCATTTATAAGTGCCAAGTCCTAATGTAGTATTCTCGATAAAATTATAAGAAAAGTATGACTTTTTCCACATATATCCGTTTATATACATATTTACATACGTTTTTAATGAATTTTGGAATGTTTTAAAGGATTTATAAAAATTTATTAAGTACTTCTAAAAAATTATAAAGAACTTATGGAGGATTATAAGGGACGTATAAAGGCTATCAAAGATTCGTTTACGGACTTACTTTTTTATATTGTAAATGTTTATTTCTAAGTGCTAAGTCCTAATAATACTATTCCTGATAAAATTAGTTTACAAGAAGAGGCGTAAAAGATCTATTGTTCACAGGTTTTTTAAGACCTGGGTTAGAGACATTTTTTTACCAAAGTGGGACATCCAAAGTTGTTTTTATTTTAAAAACATCCTGTTTCTTCTGGATTTTTAAGTCTCACGAACTCTTGACCGTTTTAAATTATTCTTTTTTGTATTTCTAGTGAAACCAAAGATAACGGTACCACCGGAAAGTGTCACAGTTGACGAAAACGAAAAATCGGTCCTCACGTGCGAGTTCGAGTCGTCGTCTAGGGAACACACCGTCCTAAAATGGAAGAAAGACGGTAAAACTTTGAAGCACGAGTACGACGAAGGCGTCCTTTCGCATCCAAGGGTCAAAATTTTTAAACAGAACGGAACGCTCGTGATCAGCAATACCCAAGCCAGCGATCGTGGGGAGTACGTGTGCGAGGTGATTACTGCTGGGCAAAAACCTGTTTTTTCGAAACCTGCTACGATATCTGTGATAGGTAAGTGCTTCTATCAAATTACTAATTTAAAAATTATCTTTTTTTGTTAGTTGCTGATTTACTAACATTATTTTTCTATTAATCGAGATAATAGTTTAATATATATACTTAAGATAAAAGCTAAAAAGATCTCTCTTCAATATTCTTGATCAGTGTGGTGTTTTTTTATATATATTTTCAATATCTAGCGTTAGGAAACCGCTTATTTGTCGAAACAAATTCAGTTCCCAAAAATATTGACGAATTCCAAAGCCTTGTTTGAATATCAACGAAATTCTTATGTTAAAAACTTTTTTTGAAGTTATTGATGCACTTTTAAACGGAAAAAAGTATTTTAGGGTCTAAAAAACAAGTCAGTAAAAGTAAGGTAGTAGTTGGAACAAGAGATAGAACTCACAATTACGGTGAAATATCATTTGTCTATGTAGACCACTAATATGTAGCCTTACTCTAGTTATTTTTCTTTGCGTAGGTTTTTGTGGATTTTTTAACCTTTTAAATGACTTATTAAAATTTACAAATAACTTATGGACGATTATAATGAACTTATAAATGACTTTGGTGGATTATAAAGGACTTGTAAAGACTTTGGAAAGGCCTTATCAAGGCCTTATCAAGAAATTGTTTAAGGTCTCATAGTTTTATAAAATAAAGTTCATTTATTATAAGTATTAAGTTCTAATATAGTATTTTCGATAAAATTAAGTTTCAGCAATCGTTTTTCTTCAATATTCAAAGAACAAGTTAGTAATGGGAAAAAAGATAAACTCACCACTTTCACAAACGCTCATTTGTCTGTGTTCCGACTAGTGGCCTAACTTAGTTCTCTTTCATTTACGTAGTTTTTATAATTTTTTGAACTTTTAAAGTTCGTATAAAATTTTAAAAGGACTTATAAAGGATTATAATGAACATAACTGAACAAAAATGACGTATAATGAATTATAAAGGATTTATCAAAAACATTAAAAGACACTTAAGACAAAACTTGTGTAGGCCTTATCAAGAAATTGTTTAAGCACATATAGCTTTATAAAATAAAGTTCATTTATTATAAGTGTATTAAGTCCTAATAGAATATTTCCGACAAAATATTAAATTTAGAAATATTTCTCTTTGTTATTCGAAGAACAAGTTAGTAATGGGAAAAAATATGGACTTACCACTTACGATAAAAGCTCATTTTGAACTTTTTAAAGGACATACAAATTTATAAAGAACTTATGGACGATCATAATAAACTTATATATGGTTATAAATGGCTTGTAAAGAATTATAGCTTTATAAAATAAAATTCATTTTTTAGAAGACTTAAATCATAATATAGTATTTCCGAAAAAAATAAGTTTCAGAAATCATTTCTCTTCAATATTCAAAGAACAAGTAGGTAATGAGGAAAAGAGGGACTCACTATTTACGCAGAAAGCTCAATTGTCTGTGTTAAGGTCACAAACCTGCCGCCTAAATTAGTTGTTTTTCATTTATGTAGGTTTTTATGTTTTTTTGATCGTTTTAATGGGCGTATAAAAATTTATAAAGGACTTCAGAGGATTATAATGTACATAACTATTTATAAACGACGTATAATGGATTTTAAAGGACTCAGACAAAATTTGTGATGGCCTTATCAAGCATAGAATAACTTATACTTATAGTTTTATAAAATAAAGTTCATTTTTATAAGTATTAAGTCCTAATATAGTATTTTCGAAAAAATTAAGTTTCACAAATTGTTCCTCTTCAATATTGAAAGAAAATAAAGTTCATTTATTATGAGTATTAAGTCCTAATATAGTATTTCCGAAAAAATTAACTTTCAGAAATCGTTTCCCTTCAATATTCAAAGAACAAGTTAGTAATGCGGAAAAGATGGACTTACCATTTAAGCAGAAAGCTCATTTGTCTGTGTTAAGGTCACTAACCTGTAGTCTAACTTAGTTCTCTTTCATTTACGTAGGTTTTTATGGTTTTTGAACCTTTAAAGGGCGTATAATGATTTATAAAGAACTTCCAGAAGATTATAATGAACATAACTGATTATAAAGGACTCAGACAAAGCTTGTGAAGACCTTATCAAGAAACTGTTTAAAGACTTATAATACCACTTCCTAATATAATATTTCCGATAAAGTTAAGATATATTTTAAACATCTGTCTCTTCAATATTCTTGAATTTGCATTTGTCAAAACTGCTATTTGTCAAAACAAACATTTATTCTCAACAATCTTGACGAATTCCAAAGTTTTTGTATAAATGTCAATTAACTTACTGTAAAATATTTTTAAATGCTACTGATGCATTTCTACGAAGAAGAAAAGTATTTTTAGTAAAAAAAAGAGAACGTAAGGACTTGAGGAATGGATGAAACTCATCCAGTTTACGATGAAAGTTCTTTTGTATGTGGGAAGGTCACTACTACTATTACTAAGCTAATTTTTGAACCTATCAAGTTTTAGTGGAGGATTATAAATGTCTTACGAAGAAATATTATGAAGGACTGTCAAAAAATTGTTTAAGGATGAAATTTTATAAAATGAAAGTTTATTTATAAGTACTAAGTTCTATTAAATTATTCAAGGTAAGGGTTTTAGGCTCGTGCAAAGAAAATGCATTTTGTGGTCTGCAAATTACAAACAAAATAATATTTTATAACAGAATAATAAAAACACATCAGGCATGTATTAAAATTATCGTATGATTACCGATTTTATAATCTCTACATAATGCAGTCCTATTAGAACTGAATCACTGGATGTATAATAGATTTCTGGCACACAAAACCCTCCACTATCGATTCATCAACCGAATGCATCATAATAACGGTTTTAATCGTTCAAAATAACAATTTATCCGCCATGGAGTTTATGAAATATTAATTTATTATGTTGTCTGGTTATCGGCTAATTAGATTAAATATTCACGCAAATTTTGAATCATAAATTAATTCTTTGTTATTTCAACTGGCTTCGCTAATTTTCGAAATAATAGAGGTGCTGTGTGATAAGTTAAATCGTTCCTCGTGTTGATTCGCTCTTGTGATTATCGATAAACACTATCGATTCCCGAATAAAAAGTATGAAAGTACGTGCACCCTTGCTTCAAAAGTGACACAACTCAAAAATGACAGCATTTGAGTAGTTATCACGTATAAACATCATCTTTCACTTGCATTAAAAAACTTCCTTGAGATGGCGACTGGATTCAGTTTTGATGATTTCCCACTCGGTATTTCCCCTGCTGCATAAGTGTCGCAATGTTAGTTGCGTGCCCGTCTTGGTCGTTGCTATTAAAATCGCACTATTTTTAGTTGTGACATTTTTGATGACTTATTTTGTATTTTCTATTAATAATATTTTGAGTTACCACAGTTTTGTTGAAAATTTGTGAAGAGAGTAAACTGCATTAATAATTGAAATTGGTTATTAGTTAATAAATAATTAATAAATAAAGAAAATTTCTAAAGACTTCTCCTGTGCAAAGCGAAGAAAGTGATGTAAATGATTCGGGTACAGATCCAAACTACAATCAAAGCTTTAGCAGTTGTTTTGAAAGTGATTTGGAAGAAGAAAAGGAAACATATGTAATTCAGGCTATAGACTTAATGGATCAAGGTTTGATTGATAAAGAGATTGATAAAAAAAGGAAAGAAAAGAAAAGCAAGACCTGATACATGGGATGTCAAAAAAACTAAACTATTTAGAAATTCCGGAAAAGCTTATGTTTCTTCATCTAAAACCAAAAAAAAAATCTGCTAGAAATATACGCCGCCCACCTTGTGGAGACAAGTATAGGCTAAAGTGCAGCTTAAAATTAAATGAAGCAGACCGAGAAAAAATATTTTTAAGTTATTGGAAACTTGGGGACTTACAGCGGCAAATAGAATTTATTGTTGCCCATACTGATAACCCAAAAAATAAAACACAAATACTGCTATTCAAGTACACAGGATTTCAGACGTATGAATTCTGCTTTCTACTTTCTCATCAACGGCAGTCGCGTAAGGGTATATAAGACATTTTTTAAGACCACATTGGACATAAACGATAGACCCATTCGAACAGCTTTAATGAAAAAAGGCAAAAATGGCTTTCTTCACGAAGATCAAAGAGGTAAACACGACTTTTGTTAATCCTGAAATTAAAAAGAGTGCTAAAAACTTTATTGAAGCTATCCCGAGAGTAGAATCTCATTATTTGCGAGCCTAAACTTATCGGGAATATATTGAGGGTGGTAGAAGTTTAGCAGATATTTACAGAAATTATAAGGAAGATCGTGAGTCTCGACAACTACCTTTTGCTAATTCCATTATGTTTAATCGCATATTTAACGGAGATTATAATATTTCATTTTTTTCACCAAAAAAGTATCAATGTGATTTTCTGTGAGGCATTCAAGAACTCCGATGAGCAGGACAAATGAGATTTGCTAGAAGAATATAATCTTCATATAAAGGAAAAAGGTTACACAGGTACAAAAAACAACAATGGATGACTGATGAAATCCTGGAATTAATGGAACAGAGAAGGAAACTGAAAGGTAACAAGACAGAATATAAGGAAAAACAGAAAGTAATTAAACAAAAAATAAAGGTGGCTAAAGAAAAATGGATGGAGGATAAATGCAAGGAATTAGAAAAGTTGAATGAAAAACATGATACGTTTAATATGTTTAAAAAAGTTAGAGAAGTACCTGGTCTTTATCATAAGAAAACTCCACATACTATAACCGATTCGTCGGGAAAAATGATAATAGACGAACATGAAATTCGAACAACCTGGTGTAATTATATAAGTGAACTGTATAATGATGATAGACCCGAAGAACCGGAGACTTTAGTTGAAGGTGAAGGACCCGAAATACTAAAATCAGAAATACTGCATGCTATAAAGTTAGCAAAGAACAAGAAAGCCGTTGGCCCTGATAACATACCGACAGAGATGTTAAAGCTTATAAATGAGGAGAACATTGGAATACTGGTCAAACTTTTCAATGATGTTTA